ATCTAACATTTAAAATGTACTGGCGTCAGTAAGCGTAAACTATTAGTAATTAAATAATCCTTAGAGCCTGCGGACTGCGACTCTCAAAATAGCCTGTATGCCCGTGGTGCGGCGTGTTCAAACCTGCATTACTTCAGTCCTAGACGTGTACCACATATGGCGCACGTCGCAGTCAAAGTGTTAAAAAATAAACTCGAGCCCATAACGAGAGGTGAGAAAAGATGGATTAAACAAGGAAAGGGTCAAAATATATCTCCAGGGAGGATATTCGCATTTCGCCACAGCTGAAGCCCATATTTCACAAACTCACTCGCTCTCTCTGACGATGGATGCGGATAAGAATAAAAAACGTCAGGCCAGTAAACTTCTTGCAGAGAAGAACTCGCGATCATTGAGATAGTACTCGTATTTGTCTAGTACAATAGGCCATTTTCGGAGACTATGAACGTGCAGCAACAATTGAGTGGTTTGTCTAAGCGATCACATTTTCTTCTGAACTGCTTCTTGGAACCCATCTCTTCGCTTTTATCGACAGTTTAGTGACTGAGAAGAATAAGAAGAAGACTCGATCGCTGGGACAGTGTTTATTCGCCTGATGTTTCGATATCCTTCGAGGATTCGTCATCAGAGACATGAGTAGCAGAAACAGATTTAGTTTCTGCTACTTTAGTGACTGTTTGCGGCGTCGCCGGATCCAGATCCTGGCAACACATAGTACATCATTGCTAAAGAGTCCTTTATATACTAGTTGTAGCTGCGATTAGTTTTCTTTGCCACATTATTGGCAGCTGATGTAGGTGCGCACACAGAGACGACATAAGTGTTCGTAAAGTGACCCTTCCGTCGTACGTAAGCTTTCGGGTGGTTGCTTCGGACAAATGCAAGCAGAGAGAGTTGGCTTTTTTGAGAGAGAACGATCGCCATATAATGTTTAACAGACGGGCCACGTGGGCCACTGTGGTAGAGGACGAGGCGGGAGGTGACGCCTGGAATTTTTATTTCCCGGACGTCTGAGTTGAGGATTCGGACTTCAGACAGGTAACAGACATCCAAATTGAATTGATGAAGACTACCCATCGTTAGACTTTGGATACCAGAGCCCAGGAACGTCTGCATACTCCAGCATCCAGTACTAAGAGTCTGTTTCAAGTTGAACAGTCCAGTTCTCAAACTATTACGTCGCACGGCTGGACCAGGATTGCGGAGTGCGTTGGTTCCCGCAGATGTCGTAGTATGAATCGCGATACTTTATCCGGACATTTCATGAGGTTTCTTGGGGAGTTCAAGTACAGGCTGGTCCCTAACAGTCGCTCAGATTGTTTGCTCGTGGTTGTCTAACTTAGCGTTCTGATTAAAGGTGGCAGTGACAGGCAAAATTACTTAATGGTGGTTGACAGGCGCCGTGTCACAGTGCCGTCATCGGGCTTCGTGGTATTTCAAAGGGCCGTCGGCGCGCAAGATATCAACCCTTCATATATTGGCAACAACGCCGTTGCTGGTTCGCGACTGCTTATTTATAAGACCTAAGTGCCTGATTATTTCGCAGCTAACGTTCGCTCAAGACCGCCCCACTAGTGGCCATCTGTAGACGCGCCGAGCAGGCAGTAAGCATGTTAACAGGTAAGCCGGTAGCCCTGCTAGCAGTCACTATCAGCCACTTATTCAATCTGATTCCGTAATAACTGTAAAGTCTACCATATCGCCCTGATTTCTCACTTACGCACTATTGTAGTGCTGACGATGTTGCAAGCAGCAGAATCCCTTATGCACTAGTTTTTGCGTCTAGGCCCAATCAACCCTACCTGCTGTGTATTCCTTGCCAAAAATATTCTGTCCTTCTAAAAAGGATATATCAGAAGCCCACATGTATGGTAGTGGAAAACCTCAGTAAACTATACGATGCATATCATACCATTAGGGAGGTTTGGCAGATTTGCTTAATTGAGTTGAATCAATTGTGAAAAATTCACGGCCTTGGTGGGGGTCGAACCCACACAACAAGGAAGGCTTTTGCGCAGCTAGCGCTCTACCATCGAGCTACAAGACTTACCGTGCGCCGTGAATTTAATCGCACTTGGAGCGATTTTACCCGTCCAACTTACTACTTGTATGGAATCAACCATTACA